GTTATCTCAGATTCTCCAGAAATCGGCAGTTCCTACTATCTCTGATATTTAAACAGACCTATCCCATACAAAAGTATTGGGAGTCATGGAACTGTTGATTTTCTAGAGTATTGCATACATGCTTCAAAACATTCACAAAATGCTGCCAGCATACAGAGGATAAACAGCCAATGGGAAAGTGGAAGTCAGTGGAGCAGAAAGTATTTTGAACATCAACAGTGCACGGCTGGGGAAGGAACTAGCAGCAGAATCGGCAAATTTTTCAGTGGCACTGGAGAAGGAGCTAGAAGCTCAAGGAACAGTGGTTGCTTACAGACAGAGGATCATTCAGGAAAAGTACTTAACTCCTCTTAGCACACGAGGAAGGTGTCTTCATTACATTGCTCAAGGCGTTGAAAATGACAGATTGAAAATGGGATCACTACTACACAATTGTGTGTCATTAGAGTGGTCTATGATTATTGCTTGCTCGCTCACTGGATGTTTGTAAAGTCCTGATACATTGCAGATATACTACATTTATTATAAAGCACGGTAATTTTACAAAATTGAAGTACATTAAAAAATTGCTGCTGACATGAGACCTAAAAAGGTATGAGCAGAATAACATCAACAGGATTAATCTCCGTGCACATCACAATTATCTCTGTTGTGACCATCAAATACACAAAGAAACAGGTGACCCAAACACCATCTGTGACACAATGCAACGCACAAATGGCTTTGTCATTCAGCTAGGAAAGATCGTAATTAAAAGTAACTGAAAGTTCATGAAGTGCTTTGGCAGTGATATGGTCAGGTACAACACAAATTTAAATATTTTTTATACTCTTCAGTTTCTATGCACAATCTGTGACAATATGCTAATCCAATAAAAGTAGAACTGGAATGAAAGGAAACCAGAGTGGAACAGAAACTGGTCAGACACTATCAGTTTGGTCAGCTGATAGCCTTATATAAAGTCATTCAAAACAGCTTACTTATAATACATTTAACACAGTAGAATAATGTAGAACAAAAAACTATAAAATAGTACATGCAATATTTGCACTATAAGCATACATATATCTCAACATACTGTATATGTAGTACAGAACTCAGATCAGACCTATTGTTAGATCTATGGTTTTGTTACCAGCTGCCATTTACTCAAGTCACAAGGCTGTGGAAATAATTAGTGGGGAAACCAAGAAATGGCTAAGGTGATTGAATAAATACTTTGCATAAGTCTTCACAATGGAAGGAATTAATAGCATTCCAAAATTACAAATAATCAAAGGGGCAAAGGGAGGTGTGGAAATAAACATAATAACCATCACTGCAGAATAAAAAGAGAGTTAGGAAAACTAATAGGGCTAAAAACCAAAATCAATCCCCTTAACCTGATGGGATGCACCCCAGGATATTAAAGGAAGTAACAACAGACATGGTGGATGCACAGGAAGAAGTAATCTTCCAGGAATCCTTCGATTCTGGAAAAGTCCCAGAGGATTGAAAAACTGACAGCCAAACTTACACCTCTATTTAAACCAGGAAGGAGACAGAAAACAAGTAACTATACTCGTTAACATTTTCCTAAATAGTAGACATTAAGCTAAGAATCTAATAAAAGGATGCAATGGCAAAGCATTTACAAATACACAACATATGATCTAACAGACAATATGGCTTCATGAGTGGGAAATCATGTCTGACAAAATTTACTGTAATTCTTTGTGGTGGTAACAAGCAGGATAGATAAAGGGGAAGCAGTAGATATAATGCATTTGTATTTGAATTTTCAGCATATTTTTGATAAGGTACATTAGGCTACTTATGAAGATAGTAGCCCATGGTGCTGGAGTTAGCATATCAGCATGGACAGAGGATTGGCTAACTAATAGAAGGCAGAGCTAGGTTAAGGAGCATTTTCAGAATGCAACAAGTGAAGTGCCACAGGGATCACTGCTGGAACCACATAATTTACGATACACATATTAATAACTTGGATAACGGAAAGTGAATATATCCAGCTGAAGACATAATTGAGACAGCAGGTGGTGAGGTTGACACAAAGATTCCGCAGAGGGATATAAACAAGTTCAAGTGAAGGGGCAAAAACTTGAAAAGGTGGAATATAATGATGTGGGTAAATGTGAAGTAGTTATGCACCTTGGCAGGAAGAATAGAGAAACCAAATATTATTTAAATGGAGAAAGATGGCAGTAAACTCGAGAACAAAGGGTTTTAGGAATCATCATCCATGAATTGCACAAAGCTAGCAATCAAGTTCAGCAGGTAATAGGGAATGCAAATGGAACATTTCAATGAAAACCGAATATAGAAGTAGGGAATTTTTGCTAAAACTACACAGGGCACTAGTCAGACAACAACTGGAATACTGTGAAGAATTGGGTCCTTATCCAGGGAAAGATATACTGATATTGAAGACAGCCCAAGAGCTTTCATTATGCTGATACCAGGTATGAAGAGTCTGTCTTCTAAAAAGAGGTTAACTAGATTGAGCCTATACTTGGAGTTAGAAGTATGAACAGCAACTTCATTGAAACAAATATTGTTCTTAGAGGACTTGACAGGGTAGAAACAGAAAGGCTGTTTCCACCTGTGGGAGAGTCTAGGACCAGAGAGCATAATCTCAGAAAAAGAAGTCGCACATATAAGACAGATATGAGGAGGAATTTCTGTCAGAGCTTAGTAAATCTGTGAAATTCATTACTGCAGAGGGCTGTCGAGACTGGTCATTAAGTATATTCAAGGTTCAGTAAGGGAATCAAAGCTTATGTGGAAAAGATAGCTAAGCAGAATTGAGGATGTTTAGATCAATCACGATCTCATTCAATGGTGGAACAGAGCCAATGGGCTTGAATGGCGTACTACTGCTCCTACATCTTATGGTCATACAACACTTGCTGAGAACTGTACATTCCAGTTCTATCAAAATCTGCAACTTACTAATGGAGAAATTATCTGTAGTGCTGCTTTTCAATCTACAAAGATCAAAAAACAGAACAAATACTCAATGTTGACAATTAAAGCAACATTAATTTTGATGCAGAAAGAGCAATGTACACTTAAAATATTGCTATGGTAAGTTTTATTGCTAAAGACAAATTAATAAAGCACAGCATTCCTTTTATTGACCATATAGAACGAGCCCGGTGTTTACAGTTTGACATGTTGAGCATGGTGGACAAGCATAAGTTACACATATAAATATAATCAAATCGATGCTATGGTGAAAGTCAAAGCAGACAACTTGTGGGAAGGGGAAAAGGACATCCACCATCCAAGATTTTTTTATACAAAGGATGTAGGCAGGGAGCAAAGAAGTGGAAGAATTTTCAGGAATCAGTGTTGTAAAGAAGTATTTCATCAAGTAGCTCTTCATGCCTACTGAATAAAATTTAAATGGAGATACTATCTAGCTGAGCCCCATGTGTTTGGCACAACTACTTATCCATCATTTGACTCCTTGTAAAAACAAAAGCAGCTTAACAGGCTTCTCTAATGAAGTCAGAAACCAAGATCTTTTCTCTATTCTCCTCTGATTAATTACATCATCAGTTCTGGATAACAGTGGGCACAAGCTTCTCATATTTCCTCACTACTGACACTGAAGCACATCTTCAGCAGCCAGGCACCCAGAAACTCATTTTTAGTAAAGCTATTTATTTAGTTTATTTATAAGGGCATAATTCAAATCTTATAGAAAAACAGTGGTGCCTAGGAAACTAAGAGAGTGAATTCTAGCATTACAACAGTTCAATGGATGACAAATGCAATTACTTTAATAAAAGAGAGATACTCTTGCTGTTCCCAAGCATGATAAAGGCACAAAGCAAAACCAGATAGTGTCCATAATTCTGGGCAAGCAGCAACTATGGAAATGTGGTACTATAGTGCCTCTAAGTTATATAAGTGCATAACATCTAACATCGGAGGGAATATTCCCCCCACTTAGGAGATCACTGTATCTAATGTTTCCCTAACTCAAGTTTTCACACATACTCAAGGCAGAATTCTTGAGGGTTAGGTTTAGAGTGGGAGCATCACTCTGGTATCTTTCCTAAGACACCATCTTACACAAGCTGCTTTAAGTGCAGGCAGTGTACAATCATATCCGTACCCAACAACTCCCACCTTTTGCCAGAGCCACTGCCTAGCAATGAGTTGGGAAACTCAATTGATAACTTAGTGCCCCACCAACCACCGTACGCATGATATCACAG